GAGATTGTTTAACCTGCATGAATGAAACATCTGAGGTGTTTTTAATTGTTTCATTTTTTTTGTACAATAGCTCAAAAAAAAAAAAACTGTGACACAAAAATCATTCTAATAACGTGGCCGTTCTTTTCAGAGCCCTTGTATTTAAGTGGCAAAAATGTCACCGACTCCAATGAGACTTGTCAGAATCAGGTCGGAATAAAACGTCAACGCGGTTTTACCCCAGCAGGAAGTGAAGTTCACGCCACTCTCACCCTCAGACTCTGTTCAGTACATGTTCATTAACATCAGGATTTGTCTGCTTTGTTTTTCTGCATCTGCATTTCTTAAAGGTCACCGTGATTTGTCCAGTAATTATCTCCGTCTTCCCTCCGAGGCCTCGGCCACGTGTTTACATTCCTGCCAGGTCGTTGTTCTTGACACGTTCACTGAGATTCATGTTTAATAACCGAAAAAAACACTGACACAAAATAACAAGAAACACTAGACATGAAACATAGTTGAGTCGTTTCAGTTTCTGCAGCTGAAACTGTGACAAAAACACAGAATTAAACCTTAATAAAATACAAATTATTCATGTTTTTTTATTCTTGACCGGCATGTGCGGATGGTCGCTGGTTCAATTCCACCATGTTCTCAATCCTATGTTGACTGTGTCCAGAAAATTATGTTGCATCAAAACTTCAGTGGCGCCCCCTGATGGAAGGACAAGCTCAAATTAATTATTATTGATTGAGTTTGTTAATGGAGACAGTGATGAGTTTGATGTTTACACTCAAACCGCTCATATGTCCCTGTCTGTATAGGGCCAACACAGGAGAAACACTGACACCTGGTGGTAAAGGAAGAAAAGCCGGGCTGAGAATTGTGCAGTTAATAGACTGGGGACAAACAGGAAGTGCCGTCAACTGCTCACGTGCTCCTAGTGAGCGTTTACCAATTAACAGAAGGAGATGGATTAACTAATTAAAGATCCACTCCATGAGTTTAACAGTGTTCTCATCAGTGGAAGTGCCGCTTCTTAGCCCGAGGACACAGATGTCTCGCGTCCTTTGTGGCTCCGAGGGTCTTAAGAATATTAATGATTTCTAATGAGACCCAGTGGAACCTCGTTAGCTGGAGGATCGTGCACTTTCTTTTTTTTTTTCTTTTTCCTTGTGAAGTGAAACACATCTGATGATCAACTTCTTTGATTTGTCAAAAAAAACAAACCTCGACTTTGATGAAATTAACTGATTCATCTTCTGTCTTTACAGGCTGGTGGAGGAGGAGGAGGACGAGGGACGTTTCTCCGTCTACTTCCTTATGTGACCCAGAAAGGCGTAGCCAACCCTCTCAGCCAATCGGAATGAGGATGTTTCCTGGTTAGGCTCCGCCTCCTGACACGGACCTGGAGTTTCAGTGAGTCTCTTATTTCAGAATATTACAAACACGATATTATTTTACAACAACGTGTTTCGTGAAATGAAACATTGCGATATTTCGGTGTATCGATATTTACTTTTAGGCTAAATCCACGACAGGCAGCAACACCGGAACGATCTTTAGTCTGTGACTGTGTTTTGGGCCAAACGTCAGCTTCACAAACTGCTGTAAATACTTTTCTGTTTTAATTAGTTGGCTTCCCTCCGTCTGAGGCTGCGCTTATTTACACTTCATTTCTGCTGAATCGGGCCTTTTCATAATTAGCTGCTTAATTGCACCAATAGAAAGAATTCCAGTGGAAGGAAAAAAAAAGAGAAGTGCAGCAGCCAAAAGAAGTTGTGGAGTGAAACAGATAACCTTCTGTTTTTCCTTTATGTGAAGCCAATTCAATAAAACACTCGACTCTCGACTCGTCCTCCGCGGTTTTCTCATAATACGGATGTTGTTGAGTATTCGTCTTGTACTTGTAGTAAATGTGTGTACATTTACTGCACTCCTCATCTCTGAAGATGCCTTTTGTTTTATTCGGCCGTGCTGCAGAGCTCTCAGCTGCCTTCAACCAAAACAAAAATCAATAATTTCCCCAGTCAGGTCGCTAAGGCTCACGTCTAGATGTTGGCTACTGGGTGTTTAGGTGGAGGCGGGGGGGAGGGGGGTGATAATGAAGGCGTGGGTCAGAGGATGATTGATCCTGAGGGGGCGGGGCTAAAGAGCCTACGGCTTGTTGACTTTACTGTAACTGTCGAAACGCCGCCGTCATCTGCATGCTAACATGCTAATGTTCTGGCTACGCTAACGTGCAGATGCTGGTATTTTAGACAAAGAGTGTCTGAAACGGTAGTCGCTGCAGGTTGGTTGACCTTTGAACCCAGTTCCGGTTCGTTCTCACCCGAGTCAAGGTGAGAACGAGGGGGAGAGCGGTCGCTCTCTGGTTTTTAATGACTGAGACCACGGCACCTTCTAATGTTGTCCAGTAGGGGGC